GAGACATCATGCGTTTCCTAAGGACTATTGAATTATTAATTTGTTCTTTCATTATTCTTTTTTTTTTATTAATTTTGTTTATAAGCATTGTGTTTACGACATTTTGCGACAATATATAAATATAATAAGAGTAGAAAAATTATCTCTGTTAAGTTTACAACACAAATGTTAAAATGAAAGATAAGTATCATCTTTTGGTCATATCGAATTTCACTTACTTCGTGTGTCAAGGAGTTAACATACAAAATAATAAACGATATACTGTGTATAGCAAGTTGCCATATTACCATGTGATTATGTTATCAACACTGTAAAAATTGAATCAAATTACGTAACATCGTTCCATAATAATACGGTGTTCCTTGGTTGGAATAGTCACATAACCTAAAGAAAAGGTCGCGTTGCCATGAGCCATTGCTAGATGTTTCAACAGAACCGAAACCACGCCATTCTCTTGACTGTTTGCCGCATATTTTCCGAAGAGTTTCTAATCATGCCAATAGAGCGGTTGATTTATGCCACGACAGCTAGCTTTCGAATTGTTCATCGTGTAGCCTTTCCGAACGTGGTTTCGTTCACAGGGTCGGTCGTCCCTTTATTATCGATTGCATACTGCGACAATTATCAACTGCATCATAAAATTATCTGTCTTGAATTAAATTCAATATACATGATAAAATATACATTCATTCAATATACATTTAAATTGTTGGACGAATTAGTTTAAAATTATCAGGAACTTTTGTGAACTTGCTCTAAATATTTCGTAGCTCGTCACATAAAATATTTCATATACGTAATAGGTTTATCTAACTGTTCAAATATTTTCGTGAGCGGTTCATTATTTTTGTTCAAATATTTGATTGACCCTTTGCCCTTCTGTTTTTGTGTGACGAAATAAATGGAATTTATTCATGGGTAAACAAGGGGTTGCTGGAGGTCACTCTATACATTGTCAACGTGGTCGCTCCCCCTACCGTATCGTCGATCATGTATTTAAGGAATCGAATCCATCTCTTTTTGAGGTTAGTTTAATCGTTCCAGCCCCCTCGACGATGCCAACGACACGTGCGCGCCGTTTACGATTCCCTTTGTACGAAATCGTTTTGTACGCAGCGGCTGGTAGTTGAGAGTGCCAATTTTTGGCGGAGGGTGATTGGGGGAATTCGTTTGTGTAAACACAGCCTCTGGGAAGATGACAATAGCGGCGCGACTGCAGACAGCACGTGCTTCAAGTTGAAAACGACTTTTCTTTTCTTTGGAAAGATAATTTGTGCCACTGGCGTATGTATGTACCTAGCCATATCGGCTGTAATGTTTATCGAAATATATTAATGTAATATTTATCAAAAGGTTAAATCGTATATTCGTAATAATTGTCAATACATATTGCATTTATCGTGGGAAATTTTCTAACTGTAACGGCGGAATTAGATTGGAAAAGATCGTATCTGTACTTGGTTTTCTTCTAGTAGAAAAACAGACCCCTTTCTGGGTTTTACTAGCTAAGTGCTTGTACATGGACCAGTTTCGTAGACGACTTGATGAACAAAACCAGAGAAAGCGAAGCCGCCCGGCTGAAATTTATCTAACTGCTTTCATAGAAACACGTACATTCAGGGAAGTCTAAAGTACATAACGTACTTAATCTTTTCCTTGTAACATCGAGGTATGCCCCTAATTTCCATCTGATAAAGATTAATTTAACTCCAATGATTAACTTAATCAATATCAGTATTTCTAAAGTGAGGATCGTTGAATAGAAATTGTATGTAATGCCATGTGACAATAATACAGCTAATCGAACAGGTGACGCTTATTTGAATAACTGTGTAAAGAAATAAGGTCAAGACTGAGAGAACTTTTTACTATGAAAAATCAATTTATTGCAGACGAACGTAAGGCACTAAAAAATATGCGAGAAAACATCCTGAAACATTTGTTTTTGTTGTGATACGTACAAAATGGAACCGAAAGCAGAAATAAAAGAACTTTGGACCGTCCGATTCTTAGAAGACCAACTCTCGTATAACTTTTACTTAACGCCACCGAGATCGAGCCGAACAGAAATTGGCAACAAGCAGAAATCCTCGGGTAATGGACAAAAGTTCAGCCTCGTAACAGAAAATGCGGAGTCGCGGTTAAAGACGTCCAGGCATTCTCCAGCTATATAAAATAAAACGACGGCGAGAGCCGGCAGTGCTGGTGAAGGTGGGGACAAGAAAAGGACCGATGAGGACTGGTCCAAAGGCGGGGAAAGGCGACGGCGGAAGCGTGGGAACCGAGCGTAACAGATGGCCTCGGCTGCTTCCGAACCCGCTCGGCCTCCTTCGTGCACCTCCGTGGTATCGGCTCCGCTTTCCGTTCTCGCGCATTTCGTACGCTCTATGTATCGATGCAATTTGATTCGTTAATCCGCTCCTGGATCAAAGTTGCTTATTCTCAACACTGGGAAAATCAGTTCGATTATTTTGACTCATTAACAAATTGGAAAGGTGTTAAAACAGGGTGTCAGTATTTCTAGTATTAACTATTTATTATTATTCTCCTATATTAAGTTTGGTATTTATAGATTTTTAAGAACTAATCATCCCTAATTATCGAATCAAAATTACAAAATTTTAAAAGACTGATGAAATTGATATTATATTCTTAGTTTTAATTTTTTAGATATGCGGTTTGTAACACTTCTGATGTCATCGTACATATAAAAAGCTAAATGATATCAGACAAAATAAAGTTACACATATAATTTACTTACGAAGCATATGCTATTCGATTGAGAATCGAGAATAGGTTAAGAGGGCAATGATGTAAAACAAAATGTTCAATAGAAGATATATGTACGACTATATGTACGCGTGCACTAGCTGGCAACCTTAGCACTTAACCTGATGCATCCATAAGGTCTCGATAAATATCCAGACATATATTAACATATTTCCAGTGCAATCGCGTTCAGTTTACATGTAAGTAGTAGTAAGGTCAAATATATGTCACAGATATTAAAAATCAAATTATACTTCATACATAACAATTAGATAATTTAGCAATTGGTTTAAATGATTTCAAGATTATAAATGATACAAATTTATAAATTCAAAACCTTAATACTAGAAATTACGTTTTTAAAATTCACTTAACAAATTTAGTGAAATTGAAATAATATGAAAGGCACTAACAACAAAATTACTTTGTGATAATCTACGTGCCAATGAGCTTAATCAGACTACTGTGAAATTTCGAGAATTAGAAAATGATGACAATACAGGAAATCGTGGCAGGAAATGTCGCGAACGAATAATCTTCAGGAAATAGTACGCACACGTAGAGACAATTGTGTCACATCATTTCAGTTATCTCTCGTTCTTTGACCCATGGATCATTGAAACAGATTAACGAAGCACATTACCGTAAATATATAAATGTTACAAGAATTTCTCTGTTGCTTTTATGTTCACGTCTTGCTAGGGATAATTATCTATTATTTTAGAATGTGAAGAAATTTCAAGGAGAGTATTCAAAAGAAAGAACCGATTGTAGTGGGAACTACCATCACTCTGTATTTACTCAACTGTTTAATTACAAATGTTGTAATTGCTCCACAATTTGTATACCAAATTAGAGTAATTCAAAGCATCGTTTTTTTACTTTCATTAGATGCAAATGAAGAAGTACAGATAAATTAGAGATAAAACAATGTTTAGAAACTTTATTTATTTGTAAGTTTAATAGAATTTTTTTATAAATGAAAATTCTAAGATCTATGATAGATCTATATCTACTAGGATCTTATTCTTAATGAGAT